ATATATATATATATATATATATATATATATAACATATATAAGGGTACAGTTTGTACAAGGTGTCTACCTTATACTGTGCAAATAAGTTTATCTAAGGGTACAGTTTGTACAAGGTGTCTACAAGGTGTCTACCTTATACTGTGCAAATAAGGAGCACGTCTAAATTTTATCGAGAGCTGTCGTTCGGGAATGAAAAACCTCACAATGGCTTGAAAGTCCTTGTTAATAATAATTATCAAATTTAAATTTTTAAACATTATACAGATTAACATATCTATGAATATTTGAAATATTAAAAATAGACCGTCCAAATAACTTGTTATAAGATGCCCTATCTTTAATATTTTAAATTCTTTTTCCTTTATATCCATACATCGAGAGGTGGTGATGATCAATTGGAAAGTTTTTCAAATGAAAAACATTGTTTTCTACTTACTTTATAGGTTCACTCTATTTCTATAGTATAAAGTTGCGGGCAAGCTTTCTATGCTTTTTCTACAACATAAAACTTATATACTTCACCTTATCTAACCATCCATTCTAAATGGGGGTTAAGATTGCCCCAATCACAATGTCACGTCTCTACATTATTTTATTTTTAGTTTTTTTTTATAAACTATTTTGGCACCAAATTTTGGACGTCAAATGCCTCATTAAACTTGCGTTAACGAAAAATATAAAAAAATATTTCTGGTAAAATAAATAACCAAAATATCCCTAAAAGATTTAAGGGGTATTTTGGTCATTATATTTTATCAAAAATTTATTTTTAATATTTTTTATAGGTGCGCCCCAATGAGAAGATGGCACATACCAAATTTTATATTCATAAAATTTGTATAAAAAAAAACTAAAAATAAAATACTTTGAGACGTCGGATCTAAGGTCAAACGGTGAGTGGCTCTCTTGATCAAAATTGAACGGTTGGATGGTTGAGGAAGCATAAATCTTCTATGTTGTAGAGGAAGTATATAAACCTTTGCCTAAAGTTGCAGCCTTATATAAACTTTTTTCTTGATCAAAATGTCCATTCATAATGATTATGAGTCAGATTCATTGTAATTGTATATGAACTGGGAATGTGTAAAAAAATGTTAAAGAGCATACATACTAGAGAGTATAGACAAGACTATCATGGGAGCAAACCATCCATTAGCTCCCTTTAGTAGAAAATATACTTGAAAGGATGTTTTTTTAGATACGAAAATTTAGGATTGAAAAAAAAAATTTCCAACTTTGGGACATTATCTTTTGAGGCTCCATAGAGTGTTTATTAAGTAGCTCCCTTTAGTAGAAAATATACTTGAAAGGATGTTTTTTTAGATACGAAAAATTTAGGATTGAAAAAAAAAATGTCCAACTTTGGGACATTATCTTTTGAGGCTCCATAGAGTGTTTATTAAGGATACATCTCAAAATTCAGGGCCCTAAAAACATCCTTATGTAGACTGAGGGAATTCTTAGAAAAATTTAATTTTGAATTTTAAGAACCACATTAAATCCAGTGAATCATAGTAAACCCACTAGAAATGTCCCAAAATTACCTAAAACTTATCCCAAGACATAGTAGACCCCAAAGGCTTTCCAACGTACCAATAATCATCTAAATCCGATGCACTATTTGAAAGTTGAAGCTTATGGAACATTGTCTAGCCAAAATGACGAACAAGCCCTTTGGCACTAACCTCTGCGGGTTGCGTATGGGTTCCACGAGCCGCGAACATTCACACCGCCCACGGGCCGTGTGATTCATCGCACCTCTCGCAGCCCATCAGGCCCAGAGGCGGTGCAATCTTCTAAAAGGCATTGAATAAAATCAAACTAAGTTGGTTTTATAACATAATAAACTCATAAAATAACCAAAATACCCTTCTCCTTGCTCCTAGGCTAAATCTATAAATACCCCATTAAACAAATCTAGAAAAAAATATGAAAAACATTAAAAAATAGCTGAAAATTTAGAAAATTAGAAAATAACTAGAAATTCCCTAGAAAATCATAGAATTTACGAAAAGCCTAAAAATATCATAGAAAATTATGAAAAATCCTTAAAAACCCAATAAAATACTGTAAAATAATAGGAAAAACTAGGAAGCTCGTAAGAGCCTAGAAAACTATAGAAAACCATCATCTTTCTTAGAAATCTTTGCCAAAATCTTATACTTAGGAACCCTAAGATCTTTCTCAACTCTAGAACTTCAAATCTAGGATATCCAATCTAATTTATAGCAATTACCAACAACAAAGAGAATTTTAAAAATGGAGATGGTGGCGAATGATGGCCTGATTCGAGCCCAAAGCTTTGGGTTTCAGGTCTCTTGAGGTAAGTATTCTCTTCTATACTATTTAAATTTGTTATTTCTCAGATTTTTAATTTATTTTGGTTCGGATTTTAAGCTTTTTAAAGATCTAGTAGGTGGAATTTATGGATGGTGCTGCCAAATCAGATCTGTAAGACATGTGATAGTTCTAGGTTTATAATTTAAGCGGCCCTACTTCTCTATCGACCTACTGATGTTTAACTTATTCATGCATAAATAGTTTATCTCCCATCATGGGCCCTCTCGAATTGTAGATTCAAACACCCAGATCATTGAAAAGGTTACTACAATTTTCTAGTAGTGTTTTTCAGTCAAAATAGAAAAGCACAGGGGTCAAACCCACCGAAAAAGTCCTTGGAATTTGATCCAGGGCCCACTGTTGTTGCACAAGTCATATTGACTCACACACAGTCAACACGAGCCACAAATACCCGTGCCTGTGCGATCCTCTATGACTCGCACAATATGACCACTGCCAAAAAAATTTATGACAGCTTTTTCTTCCCTGTTGTGGTTCCCTTTCTATCTCTGATTCTTCAAATCCTTATTCTCTTGGCAAATCTCTCTCATAACTTACCCTTGAATGTCCAGACTTTGAGGTTCTTAATGAAGAGCTCAAGCACTGCAACACTAGTAGAAGGCATTGCAAGCAGTTACGGAAAATGGTTGCTCAAAGAGCTAGCTTCTTAAGTGTTGGTGATGTTATGGCCTTCGTTGCCAAGAAAGAAAAACTTCTCCCTACTCTGGTGAAGTTAATCGAGCGCTTTCGAAAACTGAAGCCCAAGAAGTCTATTTAGCCCCCAAAACCTGACCTTGAGCAACAGTGGAAGGATGTGAGAGGAAAAGGCTCCTCTTCTCATGAGGCATGCCACATGGTGCTCATCACCGTGGGAAATATGATGGCGGAGGTTGGCCAACTCAAATTGAGATTAGGAAAAAGATGGCCTGCTCAAGGGCCAAAACGACTAAAGCTCCTGAAGTACACAGGTCTGCCACTGGTCCTATACCCAAATTCACCAACAACCATGTACAAACACACACCTCTCTTAAAATACCTGGGCCCACCTTTGGTCCCTTAACCAAATCCATCACCTCTTTCTTCAAAATCCCTGAGCCATCTTAGCCTACATCTTAGCCTATCCTACCAACACCTACCCCCGATGTGTAGCCTAGTCAGCCCTCTCCTACTCCATTCATAGCTGTAGCCAATTCTCCTCCCATAGCTACAACCAATCCTCCCCTACCAAGAGCTGCTCCACTAACCCATGTGCCCCCAAGACCAGCGGAGAACTAAGGAGTTGCCCATACCGAATATGATAAAGTCAAATATGATGTGATTAGGCATGTAAGAAGACTTCTAGCCCTCTTGAGTGTCTGTGATGCCCTCATGTTGTCAAATGACTTATACATGGCCTTGGTACAAGCTCTCTCCCGGCTCGAAGTGTATGAGGTCAAAGTTGAGCGAGTTGAAGTGGATCATGCAATTCTTAATAATTGCATGACCATCACCTTTTAAGATGACAATCTCCAGTTGGGAGAAGTTCCATAACCGACCTTTGTTTGTGACCGGTGAGCTACACGCTCATCCAATAAACAGGATCATGATCGATTGGGGATCTATAGCGAATCTCATCCTGATCAGAATTCTCACTCGCATAGGGTTGGGGTTTGAGCATCTCGAGCCTACGAACCTCACAGTTCAAGGGTTCAACCAGTCGGGGAAGAAACCGGC